CTCCTTCAGAATGACTGCTCTTCTGGCTGGCTGACTGCACAAAGATCTCTGGGACATTTCTTTGGTTGAAAGTCATCACCCACAGAAACAGTTCCTGAATACCTACTTCAGTGATTTTTAAATAGGCTTCCAACTTGTCGACTCAGGGGACTTTCCAGAGGACAAAAAACAAGTTTTAATGCTTCCTATTAGGTTATGAATCCAAAAACTGTGTCTGTCACCCTGCAGTGAATTGACATAGCCTTGCTATAAAACTGTTTTCTCACTTCAGAGGACGGTAAAGCGGTCCTTGTTTTGAGTTTTTTGTGGCCTTGCTTTATACTATAGAAGAGTGCACATAGGCAACTCTCCTGGAGAACTTTTGTGTCTTTCTAGTTTGTCTAAGCCTATGATACTTATTGTCCACTTGATGCCCTTTGTCTTAAGCCTGACCGTTTAGGCTTAGCTTCCTTTAATAAAACTTAGTCATACCATCCACATCAGAAACATACATACTATTCCGCTGTCCAGCAGCATGCTAAGATGAACATTGACATCTCCTGGGCTCTCACTGTGTGTTGTCATTGTAATAATACACCTTAACTCAAACACCACAGCAACCCTGCAGTTTAGGCATCAGTGTCATTCCCACTTTATAGGAAAGGAAGTCAAGTCTCAGGGATATTAAGTAATTTTCATAGCTACCAAAGGATTCAAGTTCAGACCCATTTGATTCCAAAGCTGCATGTCATGATTCCATACCTTCAGGTAGACCATTTCTGGCTGGAAATCTATAATTCTGTAGTCAAAGGCAGTGTTGGTTCTGAAGTATAATTTGGAGACCCAGAAATTAAAGAGCAATAACTACACCAATCCCATTTTTATATTATTTGTCTGTTTACATTAGTTGTCTCTAGAGATCTCTTGAGTTTGTTAATTACTTTTTTCCTGGTATAAGAAATGCTATTTCTGTGTAAGTGCTGCTGGATTGGGAAATAATTCTCATGACGAAATAATTGTGTGCCTAGGAAGAGCCCAGTGTAGACCTCTGCTGCCAGTGGGCGCTCGGCCAAGATTGATGGGTGGCCATGCACATCTGTGTGGAGTCACGTCCTCAGCATCTGCTCATCAGTTCTCCGAAGGAGACACAAATGACAAAGGGAAGGTGGAAATCACAGCTTTGTCACCCAACCCAGATCCTGGGTCTTTGTATTCAACTTTACCATTTAAGGGTCCCAAAGACCCAGGTACAGAAGTAATGAGAATATGGGGCCAGTGTTTCCTTGAGAAATGACTGGGCAGAGCTGTGAAGAAAATTAGATTCTAAGGACTACTTCCAAAATTAATATTGAAAATGAGAGAGAACTTGGTTCTCCGATGAGGACTGCAGAAAATCAAATATTTTTTTAATCGACACATTTTCTATTATTATATACATGAAAAGATGATGAGTAATATGCCATATCAGATGGTTTATTCAAACTGTCAGAATCAGGGCTGAAGCGTGAGTAACTTTCCAGAGAACCTCCTGAGAAATTCAAGCAGTGGAAAGTGGCAGCACCCAGACATAAATTTATCTACTTACCCCATCATCCCTGAAAATTTTGCGGGGAGGAAGAAATTTCCTCCCAAAGTATGTACATGGTGGGACATTTCTAGAGTAAAAGAAGGATACCAGTAATTTAAACCTCACCAAACAAAACCAAATGTCCGTGTGCTGCCCGGGTGTGTGCAGCTGAAAGACTGGGCTCAGCCTTGTGACCTGGGAGGTGATGTCTCCGCTATGAATGATGGCTACTGGGCACCTTTCCAAATCTCAGCAGAACTTTGAGATGTTAGAACCCTCACTTGCAAAATCAAGCTTTGCTTTGGATTAGAAAAAATGGAAAGATGGAAGCCTCAATTACAGGGACCAAGACCGCAGGTCTGGGGCTGGACTGGTATGTGTTGAGGTTTTGATGCGGAGGAAGGTGCACAGGCATACCTTGGAAATACTGTGGGTTTGGTTTCCGGCCCCTCAATAAGGTGAGTATCGTAATAAAATGAGTCACAACAATTTCTTGGTTTCCCAGTGCATATAAAAGTTATGTTTATACTGTGCTGTAGTCTATTAAGTCTGCCATAGCATTAAGTCTAAAAAACAATGTACATACCTTAATTAAAACTACTTTATTGCTAAAGCATGCTAACCATTATCTAAGCCTTCATTGAGTCATCATCTTTTCACTGGTAGTTGCCGAAAACCTTCAGTTTGTACAAAATGCGGTCCCCATGAAGTGCAATAAAGCGAGGCGTGCTGTACTCACATCAGAGGGCCCGATTCTGCTCCGAGCTCGGTGTCTCATCTCACCATTTGCAAAGTGAGCAGGTGGAGACTGGCTTTCTAGGGTCCATTCCAACTTTACTATTTTATGTTACCCTTGTTGGGTTTCTTTATGAGATGAGCATTCTTCAAAGAGGAACTCCATGTATCTTGAGATTTTTGATAAGGGTTTGTTTATATAATTCTACATTTAGAAAACTCCAAATTTTTATCTCCCACTGAACTCTCTTTAGCAATAAAGAGGCCTTATGAAGTTTGATAATTTGGTGTTATCAGAGAAGAGTTTATTTCATTAACTCACTAGTCTGTATTGCAGACACCACAGCTTTTACCATTTTGTCTTTCAAAACTAAGGTGACTTTTTTGATGCAACGTAGAAGATATGTTAGGAAAATAGGTATTATGTCCAGGACAGAACTTAACCATGTGTCTGCTGCTTAAACATATGAAGATAAGGTAGCTTATATGAATATTCTGAAATATATGTATAATTATGCCCAAGACATAGACACACATTTATACATAATAAGAGTGAAATGTTTGAGAAGCAGGAAGGAGTGTTTCCCAGTAGCAGGAGTATCTCAGCAGCTCAGGTCAGAGACACTGTGAAGACCTGGGCCAGACTTCGCCCCACTGCCTGACACACGGTGTTGATCCTCCCAGGAAAGCCCTGAAGGAGCCGCTGATATTTCTCTTATAAGGATCAATTAATCTTTGTTTCCTTCTGCCTGCTCATTTGACCTTATTTAGTTTTGAAAGAAGGAAAAAAAGAATGAAACAAACAGGGTGGGGTCAGGGTAGGCAGAAGGAACAGAGAAGGGGGTGTCCACATGCACGGGGGTCCACAGGCAAGCCGTCATCCAGATGTTACTGTTTTGTTTGCTTGCTGTAGTCTTATTTGTTCTTGCTTCTCATTTCACATTCCTGCCTGATGTAATAAGTCTCTGTCTTTCTAGCCATCATCCCTGTATTGACAAGCAAATGTCACCCATGTTTGATTGACACCCATTGCTCCTGAATGCAAAAGTATGATTTACAAATCAATTTTGCTTATTTATTTCAAACCATTCTTGTGTGTCTTATGTATGTGTTGGTGGTATAACTTGCCTAATACCTACTCTGAGGGCTTTCCATTAATATTGTAAATCTAGGCTGTTCCTTCTTCTGCTCTCCCAAAGTAAATGGGGCTCTTCTTTCTCATATTTTTCTATTTTCCCCATCCCCCAGGATACAGGCAGGAAATGTGCTAGGAGCTTATAGGACCCTTTCCATAGCTTAGGAAAAGATCTTGCCCAGTACTTGGTAAATGCTGCTTGCTCTATCTTAAGACTTTTGAAGTCATTTTGACAAATGATAATATCTTATACATTTACCACTCTTAAGTAAATTCAATGTCAGGTCCTATGGCTGTGTCTCCTGAAAGGTTGCTCTAATTGTAAGCCCATAAGTGGAGTATATATGTAGACACTCACCATTTGCAACATTTGTAAAAAGAGCCAACCCTCCCCCCTTTATGTGATGGGCATGTTCATCTAAAATCATTGAGAAATGCCCTTTGGCTTTTCAACACACCTTACTGTTCCCTGGGTAACAACTCATTTCATTTCAGAAGGGTGGTGAGGAAAACCGTAAGGTTAAAAAAACACACACATCTACCATCTGGAAAATTCTAAAGGGCCCTCGTTATGTTAAAAGTGGCATTTTGAAAAAAACACCTGAAGCACTGATTGTGGGTGAGCCTGTAGACAAATATTGTCAGCCAAGCCCCACTCCTTTCAACCTTCTCTTCCTCCCTCCAACTGGGGCTGCTGGCGGTGGTGACACAGGGGCTTAGGTGTGACCCTTGAGTTCTGAGAGCTATTGCACATCTGTCTCCACCCGCCCCCCCCTGCCGCCCCCCCGCCACCATGTCCAGCGAGAGCCCTGCCATCATCTGGGTTAGCAAGGGAATATTCAGGATCTCACTGTTCATCCATGTGCAGAAGGGGTGGGGGGAGCGAAAAAAAAAATCCCACATTGTCAGAGTAATGCCAAACTCTCCCTGAGTGGGATGAGCAGAGCAGATGCTGCAATGAGATGCCAAAGCGGCTCCCCTTCCTCTGTGCCTTGGGTGCCTATAAATTGCTCCGGCGCGCGTTTTCAGCCTCCTCTTCTGCTGGCAGGTGGTACCCGGGCTGAATTCTACGTTCAGTCTCTCTCTCGCTCGGCTCCCGGCGGTGAGGCGCTCACCGCCGCTGCCGTTTAGCTTCTCTTTAGCTCCTCCGCTCCAGTCCCGAGCCTCGCCGAGCGACCGTGCCTGCCCCTCTGCGCACCGTGGAGCCGCTGGCCCCAGCTCGCGCGCCCAGCGCGGGTCTTTGGGGGTGCCTGTCTATTAGAGTTGTGGTTGTTGCAAAGGAGGAAGGAAAAAAGGCAGGGGAAGGGTGAACAGAGCGAGCGAAAGAAGAGAAGAAGGAGGCAGCAAAAGGCAACTTCACAGGGAAAGTTGGTGCGAACTGGCGCAGTCTGCAAAAACGGAAAAGTCGATCGCAGGCCGTGGCATAAAAGTGTGAGCGGGTCCCGGCGAGAGCGAGAGGCAGCGGCTGGCTCTGCCCTCCTAGTGGCGGGTGCCCTCCCGGAGCGTCGGCAGCCACAGGTGCGAAGGGGCTCGGAGGAGGCGAGAGGGCGCACTGCGCACCCCTCCCCCAGCCCCCGCCCCCACCTCGGGACTTCAGCTCAAGTCACTAGGCGTCCGAGCTCCCTCCCCAGCCGCAGCCTCAGCGGGGGGAGCCGGAGCAGCCTAGGAGCGGCCGGCGCCCGCCCGCTCAGGGGAGTTGGGGATCGCAGGGGCTTGTTTTCGGCTCTGAAGAGGTCCCCGCCCAACCTTCAAAATTTTGTCCAAAAGCAGACAGGAGGATCGCCCCGCGCTGAGCCGGCTGGTGGGCAGCAGGAGGCGCCTGATCGCCGCCGGGGCGCTGGGGGTGGTGATGGTGCTGCTGCTGGTCATCCTCATCCCGGTGCTGGTGAGCTCGGCCGGCACGTCGGCGCACTACGAGATGCTAGGCACCTGCCGCATGGTCTGCGACCCCTACGGGGGCACCAAGGCACCCAGCACGGCCGCCACGCCCGACCGCGGCCTCATGCAGTCCCTGCCCACCTTCATCCAGGGCCCCAAAGGCGAGGCCGGCAGGCCCGGGAAGGCAGGCCCGCGTGGGCCCCCCGGTGAGCCTGGGCCACCGGGGCCCGTGGGCCCGCCGGGCGAAAAGGGCGAGCCCGGCCGCCAAGGCCTGCCGGGTCCGCCCGGGGCGCCCGGTCTGAACGCGGCCGGGGCCATCAGCGCGGCCACCTACAGCACGGTGCCCAAGATCGCCTTCTACGCTGGCCTCAAGCGGCAGCACGAAGGCTACGAGGTGCTCAAGTTCGACGACGTAGTCACCAACCTCGGTAACCACTACGATCCCACCACGGGCAAATTCACGTGCTCTATCCCGGGCATCTACTTCTTCACCTACCACGTCCTGATGCGCGGTGGGGACGGCACCAGCATGTGGGCTGATCTTTGCAAAAACAACCAGGTGAGTGCGGACAGGCAGCAGGGAGGGCGGGGAAGGAGCGCTGCAAGGTGCGAGCAAGAGGGAGGAGACCCCGGAAATGGGGTGGGAGTCGGCGGAGAAAGGGCGCTTCAGCTGGGGCTCCCCGGAGCAATGCAAGGGAGTACGCCATTCCACTCTGGGGGTTCGGGGGTCGTAAGCTAAAGAGGTCTTTCGCGCCCAAGAGGGCGGTTCTGAGCCCAGGACCTGCGCTCTGTGCTTAAGCATTTGACTGTGACCCTCGAGGGGCGGGAAGTCGGAACTCGGTTCCCAGAACAGCTTGTGTACTGGGGAGTCCGGGAGCAGCAGTAAGTGACTCCGGCTGTGGGATTCTCAGCACCGTAGGGTCATTGCTCGCAGGCTTTGGCGGGAATAGAAGGGTTGGGGGAGTCCAGGATGAGCGTGCCAGGGCGACAAGCCCAAACCCGGGGGAGAAAGACAAGGGCCCAGGGAGAAAGAGGTGTCCTGAAGGAGCAAGTTCCAGCGCGTCCCAGACCGGGAAACTCGCGCAGTCTATCTAGTTCTAGACACAAACTCTGATTTAGTTATCAGCCGAGGAGAAGAAGAGGGAGAGGTAATGAGTGCTCATAACGGAAGGGCAAGTTGAGATTCATGAGTTTACACTGTAAAACAGTCCACCAAACACAGAATCCAAACTCCACTTCCTGGAGTTGGCGTGAGGACGCACCGGCAGGTGGAAAGGAGGGCGAGAGCCTAGTTCAGCCTGGGGCTCTGAGCCTCACCGCCAGAAAGCCCCAGAGCACCGTGAGGGTCCTTCCAGCCCCAGCTTTCAAGTCCACATTGGAAGCGGCCTTGGCCTTGACTGTGAAATAGCCTCAGATTAGCTCTGGGCTAGGAAGACTCGATCTCTTGAGCTGGTTGGAGCTGCCGCAAGGGCCACATGGCTGCAATTTTATACTGGGCCAACTTGCCAGTTTGCTTGAGAAATTCGCAGTCATTGCAAAACCAAAGTGTGTCTTATCTCTTAGTCACAAGAGGAAAATAATCATTGTAACTGCCTGAAAGTGTAATTAGACCCTCTGCATATGCCCAATCAGTGGCCGCTGGAGGGAAAGCCTTGTAGCTTGCCGTCCTGACTGAGTTCTTGAATTCTAACTTGGTTTAAGAGGTGGCGCAGTGAATGGTCTGAGCCCAGGCCCTGACCAACTTTGGTTTCACCAAGTCTGTGAGACTTGGTGACTCATCCCCTGAATTCAGACCTTTTAAGCTATAACCCAGGTTTCTATTAAGCAGCATTGAAACTGGATTTCTTCAAAAAACCTAATTCAGTGTCAGAATTGTTCCAAAAACGAAAGAAAAATATACTAAATGTATAAGAGATGGAAAGGACAAAAAACAAAAAACGTCCCATCCCTTCCCTTTCCTACCACCCCTCACCTCTAAAGGATTATGAAGTAAATTGCTTAAGGGCCCATCAGGATTTGTCAGGACGCTGTAGAACAAAAAGAGAAATAATGTCCACCAGGAGGCACTGAAAGGGCTGTTTATTATAGTTTTGCACGAAAATAATAGTAAGATAAATAACAATTGCTTGCAGAGCAATAGGTAAATGGCTGTGAAAGGGCATGACTCCCCGTGCCAATATGGAGCGATGGTGTCCCCCTTCCATGAGGGCTCAGGAGCAGCTCCTCCGCAGACAGTCCAGGCACCATTTGTTTACACACTGGCTATCTTCTGACTCAAAGGTTGAGTCTGGAAATTACTATCATACCGAAGAGATTGTTTTTAGAGGTATTCACCAAAATGGAGTAAAATTCAAGTTTAATTAGCCAATGTATAAAAGTGCTCACCTCTTTAAATATCTGGAAATTGCAATTACATGAAAAAAACAGGGAACAAGATATTTGAATTACTTTAAATGTTGATATCTAGACTGCTGAGCCCAGGATGTTACACTGATTCCAAGAAAACCGTTCTGCATAGGTATTCTATGTGCATTTTGCTTTTAAATTATTTCATTGTCTGGGGTGTGGACTGCTTCTTTGTATCACCCTAGTGTGTACATTCTTAAGGGTGAAGAAAAAAGAACAAGGCAAAACAGCTGACCTTAAGTGTATAAGGCTTTTTACTGGCATCACTAATCTACATTAAAAGTGTGCAACAACTAATTCAGAAAAATAAATATAGTAACAAACAGCATATTTCTGAGTTTAGCATGGGCTATTTTGGAAAATGGCTATTACAATATTACTTTTAAGGACCTTTATCTCTAGAATAAAACTATTTTGGAAAGTCTGGTCTGCACCCAGTTATAGATGAGAAATCTTATATATCTTTATTAATATGGAATGAATAGTTCACCTTGCTTTTCAATTATGCTCTTGTCCGATTACTTTGTAGAATGGCCGTTTCCCGCTCTGAACTGACCTAATTTGTTTTCACAAAACAGCAGCTCAGAGACCCATGTCAGTGTCATGTTCTGTGGATTAAGTGGGTTAGAGAAACACAAAAATTGCACTAAAATACAGTTCACTCTAGGATAGAGAAATGCCTCTGGACCTTTACCAGAAGAGAAACATGTTATTTATGATTTGTGTTAATGCAGGATCACAGATGGAAACATCAAAGGCCAGTAAATTAACCTGATGCACCACTTAACCTTTTGTTTATGATTCCACAGAAGTACAATGAAAATGAAATTACGAGAACATCAGTAGCAATTAATTAAATTAGCAAATGTTACCATAAATATTGTCTCTAATGATATACCCTCACTAATGTGGTAATGCTGAAGCTACCCAACCCATTATATTCTCACAAACACGCCCACTTCTCATATTCCCAGTGAAACCACCAACCTAAATTTAACCTTACCATTTTGCTGCGAGCCCATGACAGTGCATATTAAAGGTAAAAATTGGATTCACACAGTTTACATAGAAACAGAAAATATTTTTAATATGTTTCTATATTGTTAGCAGAAAACTCAAATAAAAATATTGCTATTTGAATGCAATCATTAAAATACTACTATAATAAGCCACTATGATAAAAATGTAAACAGGCTCAAGATTAGAACTGTAAGGTAATTAAAGACCAGTTTTTGCTTTAACAATTTATTAGCTATGGCACCAGTGAACAAGAGGTATATTGCGAACAGTGAATAGTTTGTGGGTTGACATTCATTTATTATTGAGATCAATAAAATGTCAAATTAATTATCTTTTTAGGGGCCATGAAACATGTACTAAAGATCAAGCTGAATCTAAATACTTAACTTATAACATGAAAAGATATTAGAGCACATTTAGATGGAAATGGATATGGAGAGCCAAAGAAAGGATACATCACATTCCCAGGAAAAATGCTGAAATCAATGTACATTTGGGAAGCCAAAAATAGCCTCCAGGGTGGATGCATTACCTTCCTCAATAGTTTGATGGCTTAAAGGAGGAATTGTTGGAAGTCACTGAGCTAGAGACTAGAGCTTGAAGTTTTAAGTGCCATTATACCTTTAGAGTATGATCAGGTGAGCAGGAATGCTGAGATCATGCAGAGTACCCTTGAACATGGCAGTTATTTAATTGGCAAAGTCTCACGGTACAGTACAGGTTAGAATCTTAGAGGATCACTGTCATTAAAAAGCAATCACACTGGCTTTTTTTCACAAAGGAAGTGAAACCATAGGGTAACTTCCAGTCTGTGAGATGACACTTTCTTGTGGTTATCCCTACTGAATAAAAATGGTAATAATTATGTGGGTTTGTGATTCTATCCTATAAATAAAAACTGCATTACAGTATTTTTAAGATTAGTGCCTCTGAATCAAGTGATTTTAATGAGACCTGGTTCCCAAATGCCTTGATATAGAAAAGTGTTACATAGTAAATGCCTAAGCAGTAGATAAAATATGTCAGGTTATCAATAACAGCTGAGAAGTATACTATGGATTGATAATTAATGAATATATTACTAATATGGCTAATTACTATTTTGTATTTTACTTTTTCTCACACATTAAAAATCTGCACATAAGACAGATCAGGTCATAATAGTGCTATCCACCTAGTAGATTTTTTTCCCTGGGAATTAATGACTAGACGAAATTATTAAATCAAAGCATTCAACTCCTACAAACTTATGATTAATTCCTAGGAAATATTGTGACACTTAATTGTATTATCACTTAGTGGTCAAAACAGATCATTCACTAAATTGGGGTGCACATTTCAACCAGTGCTTCACAGCATAACTGTGTGGCATGTTGCTGTTATTGCATTAGTGCCAGTTACCAAGGTGTTAAAGAATTCTAAATCCTGTAAGCCCTTGTCTCCTTTTGCTATATGATATTCAGAAAGAAAATTTTAAAATACTACTTAAATTACTTTACAAGTTCAGCAGTGTCAAAGAGACTTCTTTTTTTTAACATTTCAGCATTAATGTGAGAACATATCACATAAAAATTTAATTTGAAAACCTATCATTTACATTTTGAAAGACATGCATGGAAATTCTTGACTTATGTCTCATTTCCCTCATTTTACCAAGTGATAAAATCTTGTATATTATACCCCAAGTCATGCATTATTACATAGTGCAGGTTTACAAAACCACTAAATCACTTGCTGTGTTTTTCAGGGAAATATCATTATACTGGAATAGAAACAAGCCACAAAGTAGATGTTTTACTGAAATAAATCAAATACAAGCCTGTCTATTGAAAATTTTTTTTCCAAGGCAGTATCAAAATCTAGCTAAGTGGACGTGAAGCCCAATTTGAGTTTAGGGTGTGACAGAATGTCCATGTTACTTGATATGATAGGCAATTTGACTGTTTGCAAATTTCTGTCAATTCACTAATGAGATCACAGAGTAGATTTATAAGCGAGCTCCATCTTCAAAGCAAACCACACATTTAATGACATCATTCAAAAATCCTAGCAATTTGAAAGACTTCAAATCATGGAAATTTAGTTCCTTCTATAATTTTAGATGTTGAAATTTGCAGACATCACAATTAAGTGATAAAAAGGTACAGATAGAAAAAAAAGCCCCTGAAAATTTGGGTGATATAGTCACAGATGTTTAAGTGAGTTAAACTTCTGGTAAAGGGGGCTTTACTTGAATTAAATTTTGAAAGCCCGATATCAAATGGCTTTCTTCTTGTATAGTATAGTTAGAGTAGTGGTATTTCTCTGAGTTGTCACCTACTGTGTACCTCAATGTTTTAACAATTGTGAGACTCAGCTAAAGTTTGGACTGAATTTGTGTTCCTCAACAGTTGGTTATAATAGTGTGATTGGATAAATTAAAATGCAAGATGTTACTGTATTATTCCTACTTCAAGAAATGATTGGACACAGAGGTTCCAAGATTTAGAAAAAGTAGTGATTTAGGAAAAAATAAAGTGGCTTGTACTTTTTACCAAATGTAGTAAAGAAAGACTGCTGGTATGACTCACAAAAACACTGTTTTCTCCTTTTCATTCCTCCTTTCTGATAACACAGCTGAAACGATGCCTAAAATATCCTCAGAGAGCTCCAAAGGCCAAGGTGGACATTTCTGTGTCAGTTCTGTGCTATGGCAGCACATTGCTTGTAGATGGCCTAAAAGAAAACTCAAAGATCCTCTTTGACAAATTCTAACTCTTGTCTGTTTCACATAGGTGCGTGCTAGTGCGATCGCCCAGGATGCTGATCAGAATTACGACTATGCCAGTAACAGTGTAGTCCTTCATTTGGAGCCAGGAGACGAAGTCTACATCAAATTAGATGGTGGGAAAGCCCATGGAGGAAACAACAACAAATACAGCACATTTTCTGGATTTATCATTTATGCTGACTGATCATGTAGAAACTGAGTTTACTGTTCTGAGTTTGGACACTGGATTCGTACGGCTTACATCAGTGAATCAAGGATCCCAGGGGAATGCCAGTTGTGGGGCCCCTCAGATGTATTTAAGTGGGGGATTCAAATGCTACCTGACTCACATCTGTATTCTCAGAAACATTATGTAAAAAAATATTAAAAGCAAGATAAGCAGATGTGTGATCCACTACCGCCAAAGCAAATACTCCTTATTGTTAGTGTCCATGTGAATGAAGTCCTATATAGATAACAATTTTTTATAGAAAAATCTAAGACACGAATTATTTCTTCAATATATATGATACTTTGGTGTACCGTGATCCTGCTGCTCTTACCCATGTCAGCTTTGGTTCTTGTGAGTGTACCTGCTTATTATGATTCTCGGAGCCCATTCCTAGTGTGGGAAGGAATGATTTTACCCGCAGGAGAAGGTCTAATTGAAACAATGCTGCTTGTCCCCAAAGAAATTGTTTGCCTTGTACTCTTGTGAACTTTAGAGCTAGACCTGGGAATGATTCAACTTCAAGCCTTAACCTGGAATTTTCTGGATTTGAGCAAATTCCCAAGCCTATGGTCATTTTCCCATTTTCTTTTTCTTATGGATTTTCTTTTCTCTTTTCTGGTGATAGTCTTTAAAAATAGAGATTGAAATTGTATCATAGGTTGACCCTGTAAGTGTGAAAATGTGTAATATGTATGGTATTAGAAAATCCTCTAAGTGTCCATTCTGTCAATAGAATGTGTTTAGATTTACTAGGAAAGTCAGAGAAATGTATTCTTTGGTGTTAAATCAGACTGAGGTTGTTTGCCTTCTTTGGAACAAAAGATTATTCATAACCTAATACACGAAACTTTAATTTGAGCTACTGCATGCATCACCAAGGGGACTCTAAGGAAGGCCTTCAAAGAGTTACTGTAAGTCGTGGCCTGAGGTTATTTCAAAATGAACAATTTCACATATAACCAGTATGACAACAGAGTGTATATATTTTATAGAAATACCTGCCATGTGTGTGTATGTATATGTACACATATACACACACACACATATAGATGAATAGATATATATATGGCTTCAGACCATAGGCACAGTGGCTGGTATAGCTTCAAATTTTTAATAAAAAAATATATGTGTATGCATACACACAAACATATAAATTATCTGACTTATTTTGGATTGAAATATATTTTGGATGACAAAAATATATGGAATAGCAAAATAATTTAAATGACTTCTCTTTTAAGAGTTATCCAGAAAATTGAATTGTATGAGGTCCTAGGCATCACGTGTCTGTAAATTAAGCCTATGGCTGCTCTGTTACCCCTGCCAATCGATACTTTTCACTGCATTCTGTGGCAGACTGTTAACATTAGGATTGCTGAAACAAAGTGGCTCTCCTTTGTAGTGTTTATGAATTATACACATTTGAATTATCAATTTTTTTTCTCAGGTGGATTGAAGCTGACAGTAAAGTAGATTTTGAAAGTGGTGCAAATCCTTTCTCTCTATTTAAAACACACTGCCAAAAGCCATCTCCTTAAAACTAAGAAAAAGATCAACAACAATGCGTGTTGATAGATCCTGACTATCAGACAACTTCCACTGTTACAATGAAAAATCTGTTCCCCTCTCAGCTGCCTTTGAAGACTAACAAGTAGACTTCAAAAACAGATTTAAAAATCTATTTGTTTTTCTGGTAAAGGACATTTGCATTTTTTTCATTTAAAGGAATTAATTTGTTCTTCTGGCTCTTTCCTCTTGGGTACTTTATGTTCTAACACAGAAAACTTGATCATCTTTGATCCACAGAAATATCTTTTATTTAACAAACCTTACCTTTCCCCAAGAGTTATGCATGGTGTTCCCATCTGCAGGTGCTGTGTGCTTGGTTTAAATGCCTTAGTCTGGGAAACTGTCATGGTTATGTGATTTAAAGCACTCAGCCCATTCTTCAAGAATAATGACTAATTCTATCTGGCCTTCCTAATATATAAGATAACTTATAAAAGAGTTACAATGGATTTTATTTCAATTTAACAATATGTACTATTAAAAAGGAATTAGCAACAGGGTTTGGGGAATTCTTTTCCTTCTTTTTTTTTAGGTAACAGATAGCATACTGAGGATTCAACCAAAAGATTAATTTATAAACACTGCACATCAGCTAAGAGTTTTAACTAATAGTTTTTAAAAAGGCTTTATTTACATAATTCATCAGGGCTGGGAACCTTTTAGAGAGTAGACTGTAGAATCAGACTGTCATTTCTAGTAGACCTGACCTTTTCTTCAGATAAATAAGCATTATTTTCTCTATTTAAGGCCAAGGAACACAAAGAAAAGGTAAAAGAAATAAAGGTAATATGTACGTATATATATATGGCAAACATTTTTTTGCATTATACATTATTAATTACTTAAATTGTGGCCTTTGTTATTATAAATGTAATGATTCATTAAACTATATTATGTAATATATCCTGACTTTTATTATTGAATTTTTATAATTCAGTATTATGTGATGAGTTCATGCCCCCTTATACAAATTTTTCAAAATGTAACAAAATGTATAGCAAAACTTTATTTCAGAAAGCCACAGGCAACACAAATTGATTTATTATAAGTATATATAAATAGGTGGACAGCTCATAATTAACCTTCCGCACTATTTTTTTCCATTGTAAATTGGTAATTGTCTTATGGTATCTATTGAAAAAAATCTCAGAATTCAACTTCCCTTGCTGAAGAAGCTATTTTAAAGTGCCATATCATTCATTAAGCATTAATTAAAGAACAGCAGGATAATTAGTTGGATCACCAATATTATGAGAAACATTGGACTGCTCCAAAAGGGGCTGATTTAACTAAAAACATTTAAATTTTCAAGTAGGGCAGCTGATAAATTGAGAAAACAAAACAAAACTTCACTAAAGGGATTCAAACTGTAAGTCATTGTTTGGAAGTTGGTAGTTCTGTGTTTATTTTGCTAAAGCCAAGCGGTAGGGCTCCGTGAGGTACAGCAGTTCCCTGAAGGTGCAGGTGTGAGAGCCAGTCTCTGGGAAGGCAAAGTGCTTCTAACTCTTATAAAAAGGAAATGACCCATCACTACTCCTATGTAGCTCTGATTAATTAATATCTCACAGCAGGTTTGAAATCACTGAGTGTTCTCTGTAAGCTTTATTTTCAAGGTGTGAATTTATAACCATCCTATTTGAAAGTCAGCCATCGCTGAGGGTTGTCTATCAGTATCTTATCAAGTGCATTCTCAGCTATACCTCTAAGCAACATTTTAGGAACAACGTTGGTGAGTATGTGAGAATAGCCGTGACCTCCATATTTCATCAGCCGATGCTTTGTGTGTATGTCATGTGCCATCAGAATTCGATCTCCATAGCCCTCATCCACCAGAAGACGCACCCTGTGAAAAAATGTTAACTCATTATATGGCATTTGTCTCACATTTAAAGCACATTTTCAGGGTACTTTAAACTTTTTACTTAAAACCTATTATGTTTGTTGTAGAGATCCTGCTTCCACTGTGGCATATATACTGGGAGACCCTTAATAAATACTGTGTGGTGATGATAAAGGTACTGCTGCATTTTGGTAGAAACAGGATTCTTATTCTATGAACACCGAAATTTCTAACCTGTGGTATTTATGACAATGCCTGGCAATACTGCATTAAAGAGAGCTCCTGACAGGGGATGGCAGTTTGAACAAATGACCACTTTAGCATTTTACTAAATATCTTGGTTCTGCATTAGTAGCCAGTTCCCACTCCAAAAATTCCTTTTAGTCGGCCTGCCCTTCAGATCTCAGTCTCTCTCCTTTTGTTTTCTAGCAAGTAACATCAATGTCTATTTGTGATTAAAATAGGGAAACAAAGGGAATCTCCATACAAATAAAACATTCTGAGAGTCGTATCAGTTGGTTTGTCAGTGAATGGCATATGATATAGCTAGAGAGTCATTTTGAGAAGGTCAGCAGTGGTTTGTCTGTCTTATGAGCATTTGTCCCATAGAAGTCCATGGGAGTTTTGACTTAGTCTTGGAGCACTGGGTGAAGTTGACCAATAAAAATTTACTCTACTTTCTTTCCTTTTCCTCAAGATTCCTATAGATAATTAGCTGTTCCTTTAAATTTATAGTCAGTCGGCTAAAGAAGGGCTTCCTGGCTATTGTCTAAATATCTAATCCTCTTTGCTTTGTTAAATGCTGTCATCTGCAGTGTGAGTCACCTCCTGACAGCCTCCATCTGTGTGTGTTTGGACTCTGGGCAGTGTCTGCAGTAACTTTCATAGGTCTCAGATGACAGGAGATGCAACTTGGAGATAGTGGCTCTTTTCTGGCATTTGCTATATAGTCTCATCAGTCTCTAGATTCCCAAGTGGATCTAGGTTTTCTTTTTGTTTCTATAACATCTCTTGGCATTCTAATGCAGCGATTTTCAACTATTGTGCCGCGGCACACTGGAGCAAGAATTTTTAAAACCTGGCTGTTCAGTCAGTCACTGACCTCTTTTCCCCTAGATCAGTGGTCCCCAACCGGTTTTATGGGAATGGAGCTCAGCAGATAATGTGAGCGATGGGGAGCAGGATGAAGCTTCACTCACTCACCTGTCACTCACTGACTGACACAGGCCTGTGGCCCAGGGGTCGGGGACCCCGCCTTAGATTGTCAAGTAAAAAAATGACAATGGCCAACACAACAATAGCCATCTGGTATGAATGAATAAAAATTATATCTACTTTTTTGTCAGGTTGGCAAAAAAATACAATACATTATTTGGTGTGCTGCAGAATTTTAGCAATTATTTTATGTGTGCCATGAGATGAAAGAGGTCGAAAATCACTGTTTTAGTGCATGAGTCATATTAAATAATTACTACAGTAAGCAGAACGTGGTGCACTACATGGAAAACTCAAGTACAAAGCCCTGCCCTCTGAGAACATACATTTTAAAATAAATTAGCCATGGCCAAGTAGCTCAGTTGGTTGGAGTATCACCCCAATATGCCAAGGTTGCAGGTTCAATCCCCAGTCAGGGCACATGTAAGAATCAACCAATGACTGCATAAATAAGTGGAACAATAAATTTCTCTCCCACTGTTGCTTACTGTCCCTAAAAATCAATAAAAATAAAAATAAAATCAATCGATAAATTACAATTGAAGATTAGATCTTGTGTTTGCAGATCACAGGGAGCCACTGGACATGTTGTTTAGAGCCCTGCATCCATGTCATGCGTCCGCATCATGAATGTCCTACAAGTACATGGAATGTTCATTGTGCCACCACAGTTCTTTGCCTCTTTAAAATCTGTGTAATGTTCCAAAGTTCTTAAGTTACTTTTGGCAAAAACTCTCTTTAAAGGAATTATCTAAGAGAATATTGATTATTTACAAAAAAGAGAAAGATTTGACAGAAACAATACACAATACTGAAACGGAGTGTGATGAACTTTGATCCACAACTAAAAAGAAGTATCACATCACAAGAAATTTTTTTAGGGTATACTTTCCCCCTTATATTTTCTGAGCATTTTCCCACATTTTGTTCCTTTCCTTTGAGAAAAAAAAGTGGTATCTCATTATTACAGAGGCATATTGTATGGATAAACAAATTCCTGTAAGAGGCCTTGTGTGATACCTTGAAACGCAGACTTACTGAATTGTGAAGTACTAAGGTGAGAACATAATGGATAAGATACAAGTTAGAAAATGGGAACCCTTAGGACTCATTAAGTCAAGATTCTGGAGACTGTTTATCTCATGAGAAAGATAATGTTATGGCACTAGAAACATAATTACATCCCATCAAGAAAACTTCCCGGTCACTGCATAAAATGAGATCATCTCTCACGCTGTGCATTGTATGGAAGAGCAGTAGTTCTAGAGATGCCGCCAGAAGGAATGAACCACTACAGATGAGAAGACAAAAAATCACAGTAATTATGGAAATACAAATGAGTTAGTGTTTTGCAAACAAATATTAGAGGGAGACTACAAAGTGTGAAAAGGCAGAGATATAATAAGATTTGAGAAATGGAGCACAAGATTGGAAACAGGTGTTAGACACAGAATTTCTGGTGCTGAAAGCCAGAGGTAGGCAGAAGCATGATTCTCCGTCTTGCATTTCAGAGCTTTTGGCTACTAAGACTCAGAAAAGGCCTGCAAATGAATGATGAAAATCAAGAGCCCAGGAGGTGGGGGCAAGGGTACTGGGGCTCACACAATCCGAATTTCATTCAGTAATGACTGTGGGCTGTGCTCGAGTCAGTTACCTGGTGCGTGGTTTTAATTTAAGGAAATTAAGTGTACACACATACACATATACATAGAGATGCATAAACACACATACACATAATTTTTGTGTGTGTGTTCATACATCTAGAATGTTCACATTAGCACAACGAAAGTTGACCAAATTAAGTTCTTGTTCTCGATTTAATAGCTGAAATTCAGGAGCTAAGAAGGCATACTGAGAGAGCTGGCCATCATCCTTCCCCACTGTCCCCGCTGTCTCTGTCAGAGACTCCCCCTGCAGGTCTCCTGTCTCTTGTTCCTGAAGGTCTAGGAAACTCATGGAAGGCAAAGGGGTGCAACATATACACCTCACTGCCACAGGGGATGCAAGTCCTAGGAGCTAACTTCCTATTTCCAAGGTGAATTGTAAAATATGGGTTGACAATATTCATCAAGAAATCAGTTTTGAGATCATGAAAGATTGTAAAGACCTACCATATGACCCCATTTTAAATTCCAGACAATATTCACCTCTGACTATGGCACAAGCTAGTAGGGCCCTAGAGACACCTGTTCGCCAGTCCTGAATGACACTTCTCGGCCAGTAAATTAAAAGCCTAAAACAAAACAAAACTTTCACTCGATCCTGCCTTGTCTTCTAGCGTTAGTCCCACAGCCCTGCTTCCATTTATCACTGAACTTCTTGAAAGAATAACCTCCACATCATCTCTCTTACTCACCTCCTTCTCATTCCTCAAGCCTTTTCTACCAAGACTGTACTTACTAATTGTGAAATGAGAACCTTCTGACTAAAATCCAATGGATACTTTTCAGTCTTTACTTCAATTGATATCTGCCACCTGTTACACGTGTGCAAGCCCTTCTGCTTTCAGCATTCTTCTCCACCAGAGTCCAAAATAATGTGTTTTCCTGATATTATTATCACTTTGAAAACTTCTCAACCTGTCCCTGAGTGACAGTTCCTGAGCCTGTCCCTTAAATGTGTGTGTTGCCTGGGGCTCTATCCTCATTCTCTTCTCTGAGTGGTCTTACTAGTCCCTAACTATCACATACAAACTGATGGCGTCTCTGTTTATGTCTCAGTTCAAACTTCTAGCCTGGGCTTCACACTCTTATCCAAGGACCCCACTGGATAGCAACACTTAGATATTCCCAAGCAAAAGCCATCCTTTTCAATCTCAAATCTGTTTCTTCTCCCAGGATTCCTACTTGCTGTATTCAGCATTCATATCACCATGTAACCAAGATAAACCAGGTAGCCACTCATCCTTGACTCCAGAATTTTCCACTTGGTGGCATAGAATGACTCCCACAGTTATTTGCTTTCACCTCATATTAGACAATTTTGAAAAGTTAGAGTTTATGTGGTGTTTGGTCTTTAGACATTATACTTAAAGCATTTAAGTTGAAGTCAATATTTTAGTGAATGCTTTTAATAAGGCATTTCAAAAATATATTGTATGAAATTATTATGTGAGTGTGTTCTACCTGGGAAAGAAACATATCACTTCATAAGACATAAAAAGAGGAAAACATGGTTTGTTCTCTTATTGTCATGATGGGCGGCGGAGTGTTATTTATGTTTCTTGTCAGCTGCCCATCTGTACTGAACTTCTAAGGCTCTGCTAAGCTTCTGCCTACTTAGGATGACTCATTTTCTTCTTGCAATAATATATAGAGATTTTCTCCCTGAAACAACATTGATATGCTTTTCTTTGCAATCCTCTGGTTCCTCCTGCTTCCTGTTTTCTGAGTCTTTGCTAATACCTACCTAGATATGAAAATCAAAAGGACTGGTAAAAGGGAACATTCTAGGAGATTTAATCATATTTACCTTCTAATTCTTTTATTATCATCAGGCATGTCAATATCTGGGTTGAATTGGTAATGAAGGAGTTCAGTACCAAAGAGATCATATTCCAAGTAACAGCCAAGTTGAGCAAACTCCAGTAGTTCCTTCTTATCAAGTATAGTCCTAGAGAAAATAAGGCAGACTTATTGTTATTATCAAGAGCCTATTTTCTACATAGAGTAAAAGTTGTAAGCATATTATGTACTGTAACATAGTTTAAGTAAAGTAACAGAGTTTTTTAATTGGCTCTTATGATGTGACTATAAAACAGTAAGTTCACTTTGTTACCAGAAATAAGAATTTACCCATCTAAAAGGGACTTTTCCCTTTTAAAGTACTTTGAAACTATGGATGTTTTAATTCCATTGCCAATACTCAAAACAATTTTGTAATTCTCCTACAGAATTGTCTCCAGAATAAGGTCTGTGTGTGTGTGAAAATCCTCAGTGGGAGACCTGTGGACTGTGGAAACCGTCAAAGAAAATTTGGCATCAGGTGCCATGAGCTAGGGGAGTAAATCAAACCTTGGTAAAGCTTGAAGCTAAGGTAAAATAATAGAATCAGTTTCTTATGAAGATCATGGCATGGCTCTAAAATTAATTTCAAAGCTTATGTGGCCCTGGCTGGGTTGGTTGGAGCATTGCTCTGTACACCAAGAAGTTGTGGGTTTGATCCCTGGTCAGGGCACATAAAGGAGGCAACTGATCGGTGTTTCCCTCTCACATTGACATTTCTCTCTCTCCCCACCACCCTCCTCTCTCTCTCAAATCAATAAAAACATATCCTCAGGTACAGATTAAAAAAATTATGTGAATATCACTGCAACTTTTTAAAAAAGGGCAATACTATATGCATTTATGTTTTGGTGTGCTTATTTTTTTAAATACAATTTATAATTTTATGCAGATTTTTGTGAATATCTTCTCATTCAATACATATCTTAGTAAGAATATTACTGCTCTATGTTGCAAGACTATGCAAATGAGTGGGAAAGGAGAAAAATGTAAACAGTGCAGAGGAGTGGAGTCTGGAGCAAGAATAGATGATCTCAAGAAATTCACATTATAACAAGTAAAAAGGAATGCATTAAGTTAGACCCAAAAATACCATGGTAGAAATTCAAACACATGGAGAAATAAAGAAATAAAGAAATAAAGTCAATAGTGAACTGACATTCCAATAGAGAAAGAAAGAAAGAAAGAAAGAAAGAAAGAAAGAAAGAAAGAAAGAAGAGAGAGAAAGAAAGAAAATACTTTTTACCAAAAGACAATGAATATGGAAAAAAATGAGAGGCAAAATACACCCCATTAGACATTGTGTAAAGGTAATTACGGACCTAGAAAAAGGATGATTGCTTGGGATCCAAGACTGGCCTGGAGAAGAGTTGGAATGGCAGACCATCATTGTATCATTAGGCTTTGATCTACTCTAATATATACTATTACTTTGGCAACTCCAGTATGCAAGGATTAAAGCACTATTATATATCTATAAATCTCCTTCTACGAGGTCAAAAGTATTTTCAAAGCCTTTCTTCCTTCTAAAGTATAGAAGGACCAATTAAGCCTCAGTGTGTCACGAAAGCAGGTTTCCGCTGTGCGGAGATGCTGAGATGCTTTCTGGGAGTTCACTATTGACTTTCACTATAAGCAATCACATTGGAGCTGCCTCCTCTTTATCTTATTCACCAGTTTAGTGTAACTTAGAGTTCACAGTGTTGTTTTAGGCAGGGAGGCTAAAATATCCTCTTTTCATACTTTAAAATGTACATTAGTTCTATGCTATTTTCTATGAATACCACTCCTTTTCCATCTTCTTACCATGGAGACCATCTTTTGCTTTCAAAATTACTGTGTTAAAAGAATATGTGTTTTGGTGGAGTAAACATATTCTGTTTTCCTCCCCAAAGAACCATGCCTAAAAACACAGTACGCACAATTAAATAACATAAGGGGAAGAGATAAGTTTAGTATTTTTCCTTTTTGGTCCATTCACTCAGTTCATTAACTACCAAAATGGACAAGTTACTGGGGTGGGGAGGGGTCAGGGGAGAGGCCGTTTGGAGTCAAGAAGGAGAATGGAAGTACCAATAACAAGTTGGACCAGACTCTGATTTCTGCTCCTAGTATCTTTTTTCTTCTATTGGCATAATGCCTTGAGAGTAAATTTTCTAAAATTTAAGTGGTATATTGAGAAACATATTCAATGAAAAGTCCATCATAAATAACAAGCCATAGAAAAATCTTTAGTCTTAGATCCAATTGAAAACTAAAATAAAGTTGATTATCATCATCATCACAGCTAAGAGTTAGAAGAACTTACTGTGTCTAGCATTGTGTACAGTGCTTTATATTCATTATCTCATTCAATATTCTCCACAATCCTATCAGGTCTCAGTTTTACAGATGAGAAGACTGGGACTTGAGATATTAAATATTCAAGGTGATATGCTAAAGTATAAATTCACTTCAAAGCTAGAATCTACTCTCTTAACTATCTTACTTGCTCTATGAATTCTCCTGTGGCTGAGTAGTCTGTACTCAAAGAACATTGACTATGCACATCATGTGTTTTAATTTTTATTTTGAAATTTAATTCCCTCCCCACAGTACCCTCAAACTGTACTTGAAAATGGAGACTCTATCATCAAAGTGGGTGATAAACCTCCCAAAGTAGGAAAGGATTACTTTCTGGAGGTACTTAATTGCTAGTTCAGCGAGTAACTGCATATAATAGATAGGACTTGACCACTGGAGTTACTTCAGATATTTGAATGGCATGGCCAAAGGCGTAGGAACTATAATAATCATGACCACTGCTTACTTTCATTCTGGGAGCCTGACATTGCTCTAAGCCTCTTATGAATATTAAAGGCCACGTATTAAGGGTCCATCTTTCTCCTGAAGTCCAGAGTTTTGTGTCTGATTGCCTGCTTGTCATATCCATTTAGATGTCTAATAGACATCTCAAGTTTAACATGTCTCGAACCAAACTCTTGGTCCACCACCCTAAACTAGCTGCTCTAACACCCTTCCCTATCCCAGTTGATGGCAACTCCATCCATCCAGTTGCTCAGGCCAAAAATCTTGTGATTATCCTTGCCTGCTTTGTCCACATCTAGCCCATTTGGGTAGACTTTTGGCTCAACTTTCAAAATATGACTGGAATCCAGACAGGTCACCACCTCTCTACTACCCTCCTAGTCTCCAATCCCATCATCTCTTGCAGGATCTCTGCAATAGATTCTCAACCGCTCTCTTCAGTTCTACCTTTGTTCTACTACAGTCTATTTGAATACAGCAACCAAAGTCTATGTCCACACCTAAGTCAGATTAGGTCTCTCCTCTGCTCAGACACCACCGGTGGCTTGCCATTTCCCTCAGAGAAAAAGCCAGGGCCTTTCAGTGACCATGAGGCCTTGAATGATCTCTTTGGATGTGGTCTTACAATAGCCTCATCCAAGAAAGGAATGGGGAACAGAAGTATCCAGATCTCCAGATGTCAATTAGATGTAAATGCTATTTATATTATCAGTGTTGTCTGAAGAATATCACTATAGTAGAGATACCTTTCTAGAGGAAGACTAACATGTTCAATTAGATTCATATAAACATGTAAGCTGCAAGACTAACCCCTGGGAATTATTATCCTGTAGAGTAGCATATAGAAGAGAGTGGGACTTTGAAGGAAATGGTCCCATAGTAAATCACTTAAATCTTACAACCATGTGTAAGGGAGATTTCCTCTGAAGAGAAGCAATTGTGCTGATGTTCTGGATATTAGGAAAACGCATTTTAAAAAGGAGGCAGACAAATTTGCTGTCATTAAAAATCCAGTATGTACAAGCTCACATATGTAAATATGTAAATTATTTTTTACTGACATTTAGTGATAAGACACCCTCTAGATAACTGAACATTTGTGTGTAGAAATTAAGAAATTAATTCATTTAAATTCTTCTTACTGAGGTTCAAAACCCACACTGTTGGGGTGGGGAGCAGATTGTGTCAGTGATCATGCATATTTTTCATAGGAAAAGTCCTGAAAAAAAGCCAGAATTTTGAATGATATGATAATGAAGGGTAGAAGGGGAGAACTAGGTAAAACAAGATTAATAAACATTTAATCATCATCAGGTATTCAAAGCAGCCCTGTCTCATTTAATCTTTATGAACACTATATGAGGAAAGTATGATGGTCCCATTTTATTGATGAGGAAACTAAGTCTCAGAAAAGTTAAGTAACTCAGGAGTGTGAATAAATACAGATTGTGTTTATCTTCCAAAGCCATGTTCTTAGACCACACTGCCCCTTCTGTGATGAGCACATCTGCCCATCCACAGAAGCTCCCTTCCTTCTCACCTGCACTAACCTGTGGAGAAATCCGCCCCATCACAAAGATGACTCAGAGCATCCCACACCAGGAATTTTTAACAAGGTGACTTAACCACATTAAATTGACACTCAGTTGGATGACTTTCAGGGACTGTCAAGGTGCTACTGAAGTTGCATTTATACAAGTGTCCTTTTTATTCACTTGGAGAAAGGATCGACCCCAGATGTCCAAATGGTATCATGGGAAAATGCATTCTGCTGGACATCTTTTAGATAAGGATTAAACAGAGGTCCTGCCCCTCTCAGGCATCAATGATCTCAAAGCTCTTCTTGTATAAGTGTAGGTGTCAGCCTCAGCCAGTCCTGCTCATTCTGTATTCTCTACCTGTGAATAATTATGTTGTTTCTTATTCCAGTCCTCCCCAGTCTTTAAGATAAGTACTTTCCACTTCTTGCCCTAAACAGTCAGTGAGGTGGTTTGTGAGATGCAGAGCTGCTGCATTTCTCCCTTCTTCAAGGTACATGCAGTGATTGCATCACATTCCCTATCATGGGATTTCCCAGGAGGCAGATGAGATTTTTGTATCAAATGTTTGTTCTTGTCATTCATATTATATTATTTCTTCTGTTGCATGTTTTACACTTTTGCTCTTCAACTAATAAACACATTCTGTCTATATAAGGAACCAGGCATAAATTGACAACAATCACATTGCTGTTCGCTAAGAAAATGGCAACTAAAGTGATTTGGCTATCTTCGTTTTCAGAATCTGGTCATCATTGATTAG